TAATAAAGTTATGTTATAAGGTTTTGATAAAGCTTTGTCTCATTTTGATAAAAGTATTTGTTAAGCATGAATGATATCCCTATTTTATGTATCAAGTATAAGCTTTGTTTTGGATGACATTCTTGGAACCGTTCTTTCGTGTTAGGGGACGTTAAGCCTAAGTAACACCGTCCTTTCGTGTTAGGGGACGTTAAGCCTAAGTCACACCATCCTTTCGTGTTAGGGGACGTTAAGCCTATGTAACATAGTCCGTACGTGCCAGGGGACTTTAAGCATTTGTGGCATTAGTCCGTATGTGCCAGGGGACTTTAAGCGTTGGTGGCACAAGTCCTCCCGTGCTAGGGGACTTTAAGCCTATGTCGCATAGTCCTCCCGTGCTAGGGGACTTTAAGCCTATGTCGCACCGTCCTTTCATGCTAGGGGACGTTAAGCCTAAGTAGCACCCTTGTTAGATATCGGCCACTGACGGACTATGAACGGGTGTGCTCGATGCCGAGGTTATGCTTTTGGTTTTGCCCGAATGTCATCACCCCATGTTTTAAGTTGACGTATGTTAAGTAAGCAAGTAAGTAAGTTTTGAAAGACCAAGGTTCGATTGATGTTTTATTTCAAGCCAAGTTAAGCTATGTTATGTATGGTTTTGACAAAGATATACTATGTATTGTTTTGAAAGGATCTCGGGTATCATTCATTTAACCCCTTTATTACTTATACCATTCACTGAGTATCCAAGCTCACCCTCCTTATGTATATATGTAGGTAACAAGCAAGAAGTCAGCTACGCCGAGATGTGTGTGTTTTGTATGCATGTTATGTCGGCAGTGAGGATGTCAGCAATTTTGAAACTTATGTATTTTGAACATGTCGGCTTGAGAAGCCTTTTATCAAGATGTAACATGTATTTTTGTACTTTATTTTATTTGTATTCAAGTTGTAAAGCTATGTAAAGACGTATGCCATTCCATTTGACTTATGCACTGCTCTTATGGACCACTTGTATATTAAATTATTGCTTCCGCATTTGTTAGCCCCATATCTTTATACTCTGATTGTGTGTGAATTTTGAAAGTTGGCCGTCGGTAATCTAGAATTACTGGCCATCACGGCACCAAACTACTAGGGGCGGTTTGGGGTCGTGACAGTGGGGATGGCCCACAAGCCATTCCCTGCCCCTCCAAGGCAAAACACAAGTGTTTGGTGCAAAACCAAACACAAAACAGTCGAGTTGAGAGATCCTGAGGCAAGGCGCGTGGCCGAGACCTTCGGGAACTCAAGACGAACACAAACGTGGATGATCACCGAGTGTTCAAATAGTGACGTCCAAGTCTTGAGGACAGTAAAAAATGGGGTGTCCACAGTGACCCGCTCTAATACCAATTGAAAATCCTAAATGATTCGTGATTAGATCAAGATTAAAATATTTTAATTCCCAATCATTCAAAACACACAATCTAAATCATCAAGCACTTACGAGAGTGATTTAGATTGTTGTTTTCGAAATAAACAATAAATCGACACAAACAATTTTTACGTGAAAAAATCGCAATTGAAGAACCTTCAATTGTAATAAAAAACCACGGGCGAAATGCCACTAATCAATCCACTACTGAAGAAAGAAAGATTACAAAGATAACAAACAAATTACCCAACTACTCCAATTTGTCTTCAAACCTTCTGTAACTCTTTCACCAAGCCTTCGTCTCGGAACTGATTAATCTGAAGTTGAATCCACAACTTCACTTGTCAAATCAACGACTACGTACAGAATCAAAACTCCTTTGAAACTCCACGTTTGAATCTTCAGAATCCACCGAAGAAGAACACTCTTGAATATGAAGTAACAAACTCCTTGATGTATGTATCTTAGATCATAAGTTACAAACTCTCTCAAATATATCAAGGAAAACTCAACAAGACTTTTAGAAAAAAATCTTAAACAAAACCCTAAGATCCTTAAACAAGATCTAGGAAAAGTAACCCTGGAGCTATGAGTGGTAACAATGATATTTGCACACACAATAAGGTTGAGCAACCTAAATTGTGGGAGAAGCTCATTTTGTTTAATCAATGAACCAGAGGGCCAAGAACGGGGGAAACCACAAAGAGTGTGGGCAACCTCATCAAACTCACAAGTGGGGCGTACTGAAAAAGGATAGAAGATGGGAAATCTCTCAGTAATCCTTAACAGCTCTCGAATAAGGTCGGTGGTAACAGTAAATATGTATATGAAAGCCATAAAAAAGTGTAAGAAAAGACTATCACTTCAAATGGACTAGAAGCTATAGCCTATACACCAATCCATGAGAACGTACAACAACACAAGGATAATATTTAAAGCATAAATTAAATAAGCACCTAAAGCAACCCCTAAATAGAACAAAACAATGCTGAAAATCATTTTGCAAATGGTAGAAAACTGGAACAAAAATGGGAGGAAACAAGCCTAGTAAGCAAGCCAAATAAGGGTGGCTACCCCCTCCACCTTTGGAACTTTAAATCACATATTTTTAGCCTTTGAAAACTGCCCAAAACAGTGTATAACAAAGTAAAAAAGAATGGAAAAGGTGGTATAAACAAAAGAGAAGATGGCTAAAGCTTATACCACTTGAAGAGAGGATGCTCTTGGTTAAGCAAACTTGATTCAAAACATTCTCAAGTCTTTGAAAGTAGGCTCAAAATCTCAGTAGGAAGCTTCAAGTTTGAGCTCCAAAGGTGTATCTATCTTGTATCTGTAATTGAGAGGGTAGAGAAGATGGCTTGGATTTGACTAAGCTCTTGAATGAATTTTTTCAACCCCAAAACCTGAGGGGAGGCCTTCTATTTATTGAATTTCGCCTTCTCATGCCGGAAATAGCTGTATAGGGACAGCTGGTGCAAAGCATGGGCATGGGGACAACCGGTAGCAATAAAATATCTACTGTCGCTAGTCATGGCCGGCCATGAAAGGGAACGTCCGTCCAATAAAATTTGGCCTGCCGGCCAATTGTTGGGCTGCAATTGTTTGGGTGGTTAGGCTAAATGAAAAGTGGTTTTGATCAAAAAAAGGGTGTAAGGTTTAGACTTGAAGGGGTTTTGAAGCTCAAAAGTGAATTCCTCTTGTTGAAAATTTTGAACGATTGCTCAGTGTAATGTTTCATCATTATATATATATATGTCTGTGTGTGTATGTGGTTTGTATTTGTCGATATATATGTATGTATATATATATAAGCAAATTTGCGTGATATGTGGTTTGTGTTTGGCGAATTTTGTTTGTTTGATTTTGATTTTGTTGATTTTGTTTGTCGTATAGTGTAATGTGTTTTGAAGTTGTATTTTGGAATTGTGAATTCTGGTGTTTTGATACTGATATGTTGTAAGTGTATAATTTTGCAGTTTGGAATTGTGAATTGTGCAGTGTTAGTACTGATATGTTGTAACTGTATAATTTTACAGTTTGGAATCTGTGAACAATTGTTTGCTGGTTTGTGATTTTGTAGTATGGAGGGGTGTTTCATGTTAATGTGAAAATATAGTAAATCTTGTGTTGTTATTAAGATTAGTAAGGGATGTAGTTATCATGAAGTTGTTGAGAAAATATCTGAGAAGTTCAAGGAGTTTAGTGTTGGTAACTTTTGTTTGTTTTTTTCTATTCCTGGATATTCTAATTGTATTGTTGAATGTGATGATGATTTGGGGAATATGATGTCAATGATAGGTTGTAGTGGTTCTCATGTTGTTGATGTTGTTGTGGGTGATAGGAGAATTGTGCAGGTTGATGATAATTCTTCTAGGATTGATTCTGTAATTTGTGAGAGTTCTTTGGTTAACAATTGTGATAATTTTAGTGGTTTGTTGCCTAGTTTTTATCCAGAACTAGAGAGAGTTTTGTTGTCTGCTAGTTAGAAGGGGATTATACACAGTGTTGGTCAAGAATTTGAAGGTGGAGTGCTGGTGTTCCGCATTGCATTGGCTAAGTATGCAGTTGAGTGTGGTTTTGCAGTGAATTATTTGAAGAACGATGTAACAAGAGTAACTGCTGAATGTATGATGAAGTCGTCTACGGGTTGTAACTGGTTTGTGCATGGAAGGGTGTTGATGAATTTCGGTAATTTTTTTATTATGAAGTTGGATAATGTGCATACTTGTGGGGTTGTTGCTCGTAAATCTTGTAGCAAAATGGTTGGTTTTAGACTTGTGTTTGATATTGTGCATAATGATATTAGTGATACTCGTCCTATTAAAGTTAAAAAAAAGTTGAAGAAGCAATATGGTATAGATGTTTCTCATCGGGTTGCATGGTTAGGAGTTGATAAAGCAAAATGTGGGTTGTTTAATGATTTTGCAACTTCTTTTGACCAACTTCGATGGTACCTAGAGACAAGTATGAGAACGAATCCTGGAAGTGTGTTTGAATTAGATGTGGATGAATGTAGTGGGTGTTTTCGGAGGTTATTTGTGGCATTTCATGGATGTTTGTATGGCTTTCAATTTTGTTGTCCGTTGTTATTTGTTGATAGTACATTCTCAAATGGGCATTACAAGGGGCATTTGCTTGTAGTAACATCAAAGGATGGTAATCAAGATATATATTTATTTGCAGGTAGTATAGTTTTGGTTTGTCAGTGTGTTTTGGTAGTTGGTGGATTTTGGTTTCTGTTATTGTATTGTGAGTCTGCTAATTTTTGCAGTTTCACGTTATTTTGTTTTCAGGTCTGTTTCCTTTGGCTTTTGCGATTGTTGACGCTGAAAATCAAGATAATTGGATGTGATTTCTAAGTCAGTTGTTAAAAGTTGTTGGTTTAGGCCGGAGATTAACCTTTGTGTCTGACCGTCAACATGGATTACTAGATGTTCTTTCAGTGGTTTTTCCCAATGCACATCATGCATATTGCTTGAACCATTTGAAGAGAAATTTGATTGACAAATTGGTGGGACTTCGTACTAACTATAAGCTGACTTTGATGAAAATATTAGTTAAATGTACTTATGCACCAGCTGTTGCTTCTTTCTAACATTATATGGAGAAATTGAGGCGTATTGCCAGGAATGGTAGAATTGATAGTATGTTGGATGGTTTGCAAAATGATAAGTGGGCCAATACATTTTTTAGAGGGAAACGATATGGTGAGATGTCATCTAATGTTATCGAGTCTTACAATAATTGGATTGATGGGGCCCATGAGTTGCCTATTACTTGTATGGTTGATATGATTAGGGTTCAAATCATAACTCAATCGTCTACTAGAAGAGCTGAATCTAAAAGATGGATTACCAAATTGTGTCCAGTTATGAAAAAGAAGTTGGTGGACTCTTTGAAGCTAGCTAAGTCTTGGGATGTGATTGTTGCTAGTGATACTGTGCTTGAGGTTCATTCTTCTATTTCTTTTTATGTTGATATTGGCAGATGGACTTGTTCTTGCCATGAATGGAAATTTAATGGTTTTCCTTATTGTCATACTGTGCATGCTTTGCATAGTAGTGGTAGAGATGTGCATGATTTCATTGATCCTTTTTTTCATGTGGATTGTTTTAGAGAGTCATACAAGGAATATGTTTATCTAGTACCTTCAAGTGAGAGATTTGACTTTGATGGTGCCGGTAGTTCTATTATCAAACCTCTTATAACGAAGAAGCAGCTCGGGCAAAACAAAAGGAGTAGAATACCTTCTAGGGGTGAGAATGTGAAGCAAATCAAGTGTGGGAGGTGCTTGAAATATGGGAATCATAATAAGAAAACGTGCAAGGCTGCTATTCAAGGCCACAGTTTATTCTTTTGGATTTGTATTTGAAGTTAAGGAATTATGATAATAAAATGAGATACTTGGTATTATGGAAGTAATGAATAAAGTTGGTTGCATTCTTTTTTCTTTTTTGATGTGTTATTTAGTTATTGAAGTTGTTTTGTAACAGTTTTATTTTTATTTATTTATTTATTTATTTTTGTGGATTTGGTTGGTTTTATTTTTGTGGAATGCTGCGAAGGTTGTTGAAAATTTCTTATTGAAACTGTATAATCTTGTAGTTTTACTACATGAAATATTTATTTAATATTTCATAGTGACAAAACTGTATAATTTTGCAGTTTTATTTTCAATTTTGAAATGTAATTCATTTATTTGTTTGAGTCATGTAATTGGATAATTTTGCAGTTTCAAAAATTATGTAGGAAATACGTATTATAATGCGTGGAAGGCACTCACGATAATGAAATTACGTAATTGTATAGCATAATTTTTGTTTGAGTGATGAAACTGCATAATTTTGCAGTTTTAAGAATTATGAGAAACAACTTGATGAAACTGCATAATTTTGCAATTTTAAGAATTATTAGAAATAATATGATGAAACTACATAATTTTACAATTTGAAAAATTATTAGAAACAACCTTTCCTGTATGAATTTATATGTAACTACAAATGTGACGACAATAATAAGCACAAGAACACAAACAAGAATAATAAGCACAAGAAGAATAACAACAAGAATAATAACAACAATATCAATGACAACAATCATTTTCACCATGATAACTACAAGAAGATCAATTACCAAAAGCATAAAAAGTACTTGTCACATGTATAAAAAAATAAAAAATAAATAAAAAAAATAAAATAAAGTACAAAAATATGTTCACATGAGTATTTGTATTGTAAAGAAGTTTGTTCATTGTTTCTATGATTTGGTATGTTTTGTCAACATTTGGTAGTGCTCGAGTTTCCAAGATCGGTTCTTATCATTGAGGAATCGTCTGATGATTTTGTACTCGAAATTTGACCCACTCAATTAGTCGAAGTGATTTTTGCACAGGTTATTAGTTGATATATTGGTTGATAACATTGCAGACGGCGATTGCACAATCATTCCTGCAAAGTTTTAGATAAAGTTAATTAGTTAGGTAAAACTGTAAAATTTAGCATATTGAAACATTAGTTATTGAGTTTGTATCTTAGGAGTGTGGGGTTTGTTGTGGGTATTCCTCAATTGATGCAATTACTGTCTCACACTCTTGAGATGGTAACATGTTTTTTTGATTACTGAATAATGCTTTATTTCATTTCAGTTGATGTTGTTGCTACAAAATAGTTAGTGGGTGTTTTTGTTAGTTATAGTGATGTGCTTCGATGTTTTGAAAGGAATGTAACCGAGTAAGAAATTTTATTTAACTTATAATTTCCTTTACAATTTCAAAGTGTTTGTTGTGGCATCCTTTTACTGGCCTCAAAGAGTCATAGTGCCTCCATATCCCATCGGCATTGTCAAAGACCACAATTGTCCAATGGTTGTCGTGGTTAATTGGGAAATGGATATATCTGTTTTTCATTGCTTCAGGAAAATAGCTGTCCATCATTTTTTCTCTCAGTGCCTAATCTTGGTTTTGTAGTGGAGTCTGTAATTTATATATGTTTGAAATATGTTATAAAAGTATATAGTAAGACATGTTAAGAAAGTAGAAAATTTTGCAGTTTGAATAATATTGAAAGGTATGTTAATAGTTTTGCTTACATTGATGAGTGTTGAGAAAATGTAAGATCTTTCTGCGTATGGATTTCTTGCGAACACTAGATCATGTTTCTCAAATTCTTCAATTGATGGTTGGAGTGCCAATTTCATTTCTACAAAGGCATCAATGACCTGAAACATGTTATATATGAGAATGTGTTAGGTTTGTGGAATAAGTCATTGAATATGAACAGAAACTGTAAAATTGTGCAGTTGGAGACCTACATTCCCATATAAGGCTTCCCTGTTGGTCAATCTGCATATATTTGAAAAGTATATGCAATTTTCATCTTCGCCGCCAGACTAGACACAAGCAGTTGATTGTGTGTTGTTGATGAGTTGAATTTGGTCTTGGTCTTTTTTGGATAGGCTATGCCAAACCTTATTTGTTTTGTGGCATGAAAAGGCAAGTGGCTTGTTGTGGATTGATTCTTCCTTGAAATCATCATCACTTTTCAATACTTGAACGTGTGTTTTCCCTTGATTGGCATCCTCTTTTGGCTTGGTTTCAGCAGCACCTTCTTTCTCTTGGCCGATATCTTCTTTCATCTTTTCTTTTCCCTACTCTTTTCCTTGATGAGCACATTCTTTTTGCTCAGGTTCAGTAGCAGGTTCTTTCTCTGTTTTGATTTCTTCTTTTTTCTTTTCATTCTTCTTCTTTTTTTCTTCATCGGTACCTCTGTTGGTTTGGGTACATCAACAACAGCTCCTGTCTTATTCCTTGTACCTTCTTTGGCTTTTGTTTGATTCTCTTGACCATTGATCTTTGTTGGGGACTTCTAGTTTTTTTGGCGGACATTTCCTTCAACTGATCTTCCTTTCTACGCAATTCAGCCATGAATTTTTGTTCCATTTCTTGCATTTATTTTCTCATGGATGTTATGAGTTTGTCCTTGTCGTCCTCTTTGGTTGATGTTTGTGCTTGGTCATCACCTATAAAAATGTTGAATTTTGTTTTAGTTAATTTAATTAAATTTTGCAGTTTGGTTTAGTATTAAACAAGAGTTTACCTTGTGCATGAAATGTGTCAAATTTCTCTTGGAGTTCTTCTTGTTGTTCTGTCCTTTTTTTTCTTGTTCTTTTTTTTTTTTTTCATTATGTTGTTGTTGTTGGTCTATCAGTTCTTGTTCATTGACTTCTTGTTATTGGTTTGTTTGTTCTTCTTCTTATTCTTGTTATTGGCCTTCTTCTTCATCAATGTCTTCTTGTTCATTACCTTTTTCTTTTTCTTCTTCTTCATTGTCTTGTTGTTCATCAGCTTCTTCTTCTTCTTCTTCAGTCTCTTGTTTTTTTCTTCATTATTCTCTTCTTCTTGTTCATCACTTTCTGCTTCTTCTCATGGTTCTTGCTTTTTTTTTTTCTTTCTTTTTTGTTGTTATTCTTCTTCTGATTCTGATTGGTGTTCTTCTTCAAGAAAGTCATCCTCCTCACTGTCTAGAAGTTTTTTTTTTGTTGTTGCTTTTGTTTGTTTTTTTTTGCTTATTGTCCTTTTTGTGGTCATGTTTTTTTGCTGAAGAGTTTGTTGATGTGCTTTGATTGATATGCAATAACTGTATTTCTTGTTCAGTTGGGGTTAAAGCATTTTGGTTAACTTACATTTGAACTATGTGGCATATATCAGTAATACTATAAAATTGGTCAATTTCATAACATGATTTGTACTGTGAGTAATGTGAGTAAAGTGTTGAAAATATGTTGTTTAAAACTGCAAACTTTTACAGTTTCATAACATGATTGTTAGTGTAATGAATGTGAAAGGATTGTTGAATAGATATGTACATTGAAACTGCAAACTTTTGCAACTTCATAACATGAGTGATAGGAGTGTTAAATAGGTGTGTTCTTTGAAACTGCAACTTTTACAGTTTCATAACATGATTTGTACTGTGAGTAATGTGAGTTAAGTGTTGAAAATATGTTGTTTGAAACTGTAAAATTTTACAGTTTCATAACATGGTTGTTACTATAATGACTGTGAAAGAAGTGTTGAATAGGTTTGTGCTATGAGAGTATAGAAAAGTTTGAATACCTTTTCAAAGTCAACAAGGCTGATGTGTTTCCATTTGGAGTACATTTTGCCAATGTTCCACTTCATAAACCTTGGGAAGCCTTCTTTGTTGGATAGTCGGAGGAGTTTACTGTGCTCACAGTACCAGTACTGTAAAAAAAAAATTGAAATATGTTAGATAGCTTGAAATAGTTGGATGTTTGATATTTTTGTGTGAAGTAGTTGAGTAGTGTGTTTACCAAGAGTAACATGACGCATCCAGTGACATGCCTTGGGTTGTTGTTTGCATTTGCTATTGAATTCATCAATGTGTCTTTTATTGCCTCAACCCAATTATACTTCTTGATGTTGTTGAGATTGTCAACATAGTTGAGGAAACTCCAACTGAGTGTATGGCCTGTTGTAGGCATGAGAAGTTTCAGGCACAAGTAAATGGTAATGACCCCTGCAAGAACTTGACGATCATTGGTTGATTTTCCTTCTTTTTTTTTTGTTGAAACATTTTGGTTAATGACTTGACATCCAATCTCTTTACTGATTTGCATCTTCGTTTGTAAAATGCAAGCTCAAAATCCTTTGGTCTCGCATAGGATTTGGTGGTGATGTTGTCTTCTCCACAGTCGATACCAAAAATGAGCCTTACATCACTGTTTCTAAGTTTCATTTCCTTTTTGCCAAGTATAAATGCTTTTTTTTTTGTTGTTGTTGTTGTTGTTGTTGTTGTTGTTGTTGTAGAGTGTTGTCATTTTTGCTACAATGGAATTGTAGCATCTGCACCAAGAGGCCTTTAGTTGTGTTGAGAAGAGAGCATTTATAATAGGCCAAAAAGGGATTTTTTTTGCAACTTTGTCTATTGGGCTGTTGTAAATTTGACCCCCTTCAACAGTTTGATTACCGTTCTGATATTGGAACGGTAATTAAACTGTTGGACTCTCTTTACAGGGATTGCTCATTTTTTCCGTTTTGATGCCTTGGTTTTTGTTTTGGAAGTTGATTGGCTTTCTTGGAGCTTTGTTTTTTTGGTTGGAGGAGCTTCTTTTTTTTTTGTTGACTTTCTTTTATTTGTTTTTGTTGTGGTTGGAGGTGTGGTTAGTGTTTGTTGTGTGGATGTGGTCTGTGATGTAGTTTTTGGGCTTTTTCTTGTAGGTAGTGCGGTTGTTTTGTTTGTTTGTTTGTTTGTTTGTTTTTTTTTTTTTTTTTTTTGTTTTTGGTTGTGGTGGTTGGGTTTTTTGTGGAGGGGGAAATGGTGACATTTCAGTGGATACAGGTGAAGGACTGTCAAAAGGGGAGATACTTAAATCCCTAATTGGATTTTTGGGCATATTGGTTTGTTTCTTCCAATATCTTCTAACAGTTATTTCTAAAAAAATGAAAACAACAACAGGGCATGAGTAATATAGTGACAAAATTGTATAATTTTGTAGTTTTATATGCAGTTTAATATGAAGTTATATCTATTTGTTGTTAATAGTTACAAAACTGTATAATTTGGCAGTTTGATTCGCACTTTATAATAAGTTACCTATTTGTTTTGAATAGTGATTAAACAGTGTAATTTTGCAGTTTGAATAAATTTAGATATGTTACTTGTAGAGTGATGAAACTATCTGATGTTTCAGTTTTATAAACACTAGCAACAATAATAACAGCCCATTGTATTTTCTGAACAACAACAATAATAACAAGAAGATTGAGTATTCAACGAAATGTATTATTGTTGTTAAATATTGGTTTCATATTTTTTTAATTTTTTTTTGGTCAGAAATAATTTTAAAATTTATAAAACAAATAACTTTCTTAATGTTTCTTGAAATATGTTTTTATTAAAAAAAATTCTAAAAAATAATGCACCAAAACCACTTTAGTTTCTAAGTTTTGGGAAATAATTACAAATATATATATAGGTTTCTATATCTGAAATTTCTTTTTCTATTCTTACTTTTCTTAGTTTTTTGTTTTTTTTTTTTTTTTTTTTTTTTGAACTAGTTAATTTTCTTAGTTTGGAAATGTTTTTTTTTTAATGCTTTGATTAAGCAACTTTCTAGTACTTTTTTTCTTTTTCTTTTTTTCTTTTTTACTTTTTTTATTAAATTTTTTTTTTTTTAACCACACGGTATGAAGTTAGTAGAATAGTAAAATTAAATTAGTACAACTTTATAGAATGGCCAAACAACTTTTTAGAAATTACATTAATATTCCTATATTTCATTAATATTTATAGGATGTATAATGATATTGTCCCATAATTTCATGCAAATTACTTTATGAAGTTTCTATTATTTTATTAATTTTTCACAATATATAGTAAGATAATCGCCATTATTTCACGTGCTACTTAATGTAGTCAATTTTATTATATCAGAGATGCATATCACTTCTTTTTACTTTATTTTTTAAAAAATAAAAAAAGATATGTATACATTTTAGGGTGTTTAGGTCATAAATCTAAATTTAAATTATTTTAACCAAAAATTCACACACGAAAATAGTATATCCATAAGGATGTGCTTCTGCAAAATAACCAAACTATACCCATATATTTAGATCTATGCCTATTTGTTCAAATTGAATGTTGTATCATCAAGAAAAATGTTTGAGGGCCACAAAAAGTGTGGCTCAAATGGCTCAAAATTGTCAAAACGACGTCGTTTTGAGTCGTTTTATGCCCAAAACGATGTCGTTTTGTACCCAAAACGACGTCGTTTTGACAGTTTTGAGCCTTTTGAGCCACACTTTTTGTGGCTCTCTACCATTGCTCTATAATCAAACCCCATCTATTTCTCTCTCCCTCTCACACACGCACTCTAAATGACCTACCTTCTTCCTCTTCCATCGCTACTTCCCCCAAGGCCACCTCGGGAAGTCCTTATCTTCTTTATTTCTCTCTCATTTCGTCTCCTCTCAACCCTTGATCCTCTTCCACGTTGCCGCCGTTCAATCTGACGGGGCAACTTGGAAGGTCAGTGAACGAAAGAGAGAGATTAAGGCGAAGGTCAATGGAAGACGGTGGAGCTCACGCGCTGCTAGGCTTATGCACTCTAGTCTCCTCTTGGTTTTCTCTCTCTATATCTCTCACCAAGCAACTATGGATTGCAGCCATTGTGGATTGAAACACAGTTCTTAGTCTGATATCAAAGCAGATCTGAGCCTCAATCCTCTTCTTTACACCCACATACATCATGTATAGATCCTTATTTATATTCATTTTGATTATAGATCCACACAGATCTGCTTGTGTTGGATTTAAACACAAACTTATGCCAAAAAACAGATCTGAGCCTCAATATGTATTGGATTTGAAGTGCTTCCATATAGATCTATTTGTGCCGGATTTAAACAGATAAAAAAAATGAGAATTTGAACAGATCACTGTCTGCTCTCTCCAAAAGGCTCATATCTATTCAAAAAATTAAACATATAGATTGAGATAGGTTTAAAAAATTGAAAAGATAAAAAAAGATTTCAACATATAAGAGAAATGGACTTAGCGAATTCAACAGATATATTAAAATTTTAAAATAATTTGCACAGAGAAGAAAATTTTAAGACATATTTCAATAGATGGATTTTTTGACTGATAGGTTCTATATATATATATATATATATAAAACTTAACAGATAGGTGTTAATTTGGGAAAATAAGAAAAAATTAAGACATTTCAACAGATAGGTTAAAAAAATTAAACAGATAAAAAAAGATTTGAATAAATAAGTTAAAATAAAGGGCAAAATTAAAAACAAAATGTTTTCCAAAATAATATAATGTACTTTTCATCCCAATATTTCACAAACCATGTATTTTTCAATATATATATGACCTAACGCCTCAAGGGATCATAAGATTTAATTTATTACCAATTTTCTCTACTTTTTATTTACTAAATTATGTCAAACTAACAAAATAAATCTAATTAGTAGTTCAAAACTTTTTAAAAAAAATGAGTTGTTAAATTTTTTTTACAACCTCTATGTAAGAAATATATTCTGCTTGTAATGTATCAAAGCTAACATTTTATTCATTTATTTATTTTTGTATATATCTTAACGTCCTAGACATAATTTCTCATTCCATTTTTGTGACAATTTTGTCAGAATACTACTCAAGTTTTCACATTTCAAGGATTAAGGGTCACTTTTACTCTCAAAACTCATAACTCAAAATATAATTTCACACTCAAATCATGATTTTAAAGTAATCATAGGGAACCATAATTTTTACAAGTTATTTCCTAATTGCTTCATAAGATAGCCACTTTTCTTTGAGCCTCACAATATTTCCTTCTCGTCTACATGACATTGACCTAGAACTTTTGTGATTTGCGTCTTTTTTCTTTCTTTCTTTTTATTTTGTGAAAAAAAAACACCCTTCCAAATAATGCTTGTGTTCGTCCTTCCATTGGTTATTGTTGTCACAAATATTACATGTGAAAATAGGACTAAAGTAGACCGGTGTAATTGATTCATTTTGGTGAGCAAGAATTTGTTAAAATGCATATGTGAGTTGCAGGTGTTGGTTTTCTATTAAAAATAGCAACAACAAATGATGCATATGTGAGTTGCACGTGTTGGTTTTCTATTAAATTAAACTTCCAATCAAGATTGGTCATCTTATTGCAACTACAATAGCCTCCAGACTGATTCATTTGATGGAAAATTATTGATGCGTAGAGTCAAAGTTCTTGGCTTTGGATTCCCGTTGGGCTTGATGGATTTGTCTGTGTCATGCACTACAACAAAATTGACTTTTTACGGCTTGCAATGCATGCCGTAAAAACTCTTTCACAGCATGCACATAAATGCCATTATATGACATGCCGTTAAAAGTTGAGCGTAATTTACGACATGCAGAAAAAGTTGTAAAAAATAATAAATTAAACATTAACGACATACTTTGTATGTTGTATATAATTTTTTTTGACATTTTTGTCATGCCATAAATTATTATACTTTCCATGGCATAATTTTACATGCCGTAGAAGGTTATTTTTAATATATTTATGGCATACTTTGTATGTCGTATATAATATTTTACGACAATTTTTTTGTATGTCATAAATCATCACTCTTTTCACAACATAATTTTGTATGCCGTAGAAGGTCATTTTTAATATATTTATGACATACTTTGCATGCCATATATAATCTTTTATGACATTTTCTTGCATGTCATAAATCATTATATTTTTTACGACAATTTTGTATGCCGTAAGAGGTTATTTTTAATAATATATATATATATACAAGAGTATAACTTTGCTTAACAGTAAGCAGATAATAGCTTATAAAATGTAACAGTGAAACAATCGGTGAACAAACCAAGCAGAGTCGGCAACTATGAAATAAGCAAAAAAAAACTAATATTCATACACCAAACAACTGCATATTAACTTTCATCCTCAACTTCTATCTTATCAAGCTGATAACAACCTCACAAACATGCAAACCAAGAAAAGTATCCAAATCATAAAATTCATTAATCTCACTACTAAAAACCAGACTTTTTGCCACGGACCAATGTACAAAAACATTACAATAAACTACTAAAAAAAACAACCAGCCAGGACATAAATACATGGAAACCTCAGTGAACAGTTAAACATAGAAACAAATTCACAATCCAATGGAAAATGTTACAAGTGCAGTTGTATGCTCTTTTAATCAAAACTACCAACCACTATAATAACATCAAGTAATAGATTAAGATATTTCTAAACTTAGTACCTTCACCACAAGGGGACTTCCTGGTAGTGATATGAAGAACCTTGGTGGACATCCTGATAGGTCCCTTCATGATATATGATAGATGAATAGTTTAAATTAAGAGCATCGTTGACACCTCCAGCTACTAATAAATGATTATCTTTTATCATCACCATATCAAATAATCCCATTATGTGATTCCACCCTCTACCTATTAGTACCTGTTAAGAGACACAAAAGATTACCAAAAAGAATTTAATTAAAAAAGGATAATAGATACAGTGCAACTACGAAGGAGAAAGCCAAAATAGGTGAATGGATTAAGTTCATTATGTAAACTTCCAGTACCATAAGCTTGGATCTTCATTACATCAAGTAGTCCCTAAGAGCTTAAGATAGGGCCCTTTCACTACAACAAGTTTAATATCAATATCAACCAATGAAAAACTATAAGCTGTGTGTTTCATATCAATTCTAAGTAAGACAGATGCCACTTACAAAAAATAGTACTCTTAAGGAAATCATATACATATATTCGGATGTGAAGTGTTTAAGCAGAAGTCGAAGTTAAGAAATATGCAAATTTGCTAGTCATAGAATCATTCAATATCCATTACCATTAAGCACATAAACATTGCTTTTGAACATCATGGCATCAAAGGAAATTCATTAAGACATGAGACATTCTTAAATAGCTCATAACAATATTTATGAGACAATTTCGAGTTCTACAAGGTGATACTTCATAATTATTATTACCCAGAATCCCTACTCCTTGAAAAACAAATAGACAACTTTTATTTATGAACTCATCCTAATGAAATGCCAAGCAGAATCTTACACCACAACATGGAAGCATCATACAAGGAAAGAGAAACAAACTCTATTTAAATTTTTCTCCATAAGGGTAGCACTCTCTAGGACCTATCTATACAACTCTACATCAAAAAAAAAAAAAAAAATTAAAACACTTAACCTACAATGATTTCTATAGATATAGGGGGGTAGGGTATGAAACTAGTTAACAATAAAAAATGTTTAAGCATTAACTGAAAAATATAGAACTGCTACTGGTTTCATGGTTTCATATTTCATTTTATGTACACAACATACAGAGCATGTAAAACTAACCATTATTAACTAAAATTCAATATACTGAAGACCAGTATGCAACTAATAAAGCAATACCTTCTGCTTCTGTTCTTCAGTTAGAGTACCAGGCATGGTCATATCAAGCATATTCATAGCCACTTGTGCAGTTTGGAGCACTTGGCCTCTTTCATCATCTATAGAATTGCCTTCGTCTTTGACTAATACTACATCAACAGAGCTAGCTTGCTCTAATGTACCATTGCTCTTTTGTTGCAATCCTCTATCTTCAATTTCAGGATTTCTCTGTGAATCACGTCTGACTCTTGAACTGGGAAAGATTCAAGCAGATGAAAACACTAAAACTAACTCCCTGATCGCTAATAGGACCTCAGCGCGTTCAGAAGGGGACTTTATGATGTCCCATTCCTACAACAAAAAATAAACCAAGCAGATCCAACAAACATTCGAGTTTAATATCATCAAAACATGCCAATAATGAGAGGGGGGGTTGTACCTTTGAATTTTTTACTTTTGTAAGCAAGCTTCCAATTGTTTGCTGTTCAGTTGTTCTATTATTTGCAGAACATAACAGTTCTTCAAGAATATTTACCTACATTAACAAATTAGAATGATTAGCTTTAAACTAGTGAAGAGATATTTTTTGGTTAAATTATTCGAACGCCTACAATGGCATAATTAAAATTCGTGAACTACTTAGAAAGCAGTTATACTTGGCATAAATATTCTGTATCCCTCACTTGGATCTCTTAGAAATTCCACAAAATTTGGCCTTTGTAACTGATAAGCAGAATGTTTCCATCATATCAATGCACATGTGAACCACCTTGCATCACATCTCTTCAGCCATAGGCAACTATTAACAATCCAAGAAGGGATGAGTGGCCATGACACGCCTGTAGAACCATTTGGGCCTGAATTTCTTGCCACTTGGACTTTTGGATGGGGCTATAGAAATTTAAGCTCAGCCCAACACAGACAATGACACGTGATAAGTGTCAAATTTTATGTAGTTCCAAATAAATTTAGTTCATTTATATTTCTAATCAGTATTAACTTAATGCAGTTTTGTATATATATAGGATTGGTCTAGCTCAATTTCCTATTAAAGGACTAAACCAGGTTTACTATACTACCTACATCCAAGCTCAGGCTAAGTTAAGATAGGATTAGCTTAATGTGACTAACTTCAATCATAGGCCTAGCTTGAACACCAACCATGGCCCATACTACATCAGCAACTAATAGGGTTGTCGATATAATTTCCCAGTTACGAGGGGTATCTATGCCAAACAACATCTATTAATTCACCCAGTAAGAAGAAACTTGAGTTCTTTATGCTCAGAAGTTACCCTTAACTTTCTCATGAAGCAGAAAGAATTCATCATAGAACAAACATGACTATGATCCTTACTTGTCTCTTCTTCCATTGAGCATGGGACTTCTCATTAGGAAAATCAGATTTGACCATGCCATTCAAAAGCCCCAAGGAGATCTGAGGGATGTCAATTCGTTCATACATGTTTGTTGAAGCAAACTGCATCAACCTTTGCCTGGTGCACAAATCGACGGCTTCTGAAATCTAGTGAACCAAATATATTACTATTTCTGAGAAATAGGAGCTGAAAATCATAAATAAATAACTAGTTTAAAGTTGAAAATATTAAAAAATGTAGACATTCTACATCTTGTCCTACTGATTAGTTAAAACAATAATCAAGATTCAGTTTCCAATTGAAACATATTTCAGAAAGGATATTCATCTATGAATTAAATAGGGAAAGAAACTATCAAGGAAATTTTCAAAAGTGTGCATTTCACAAGCGATTGAAACCTAACTTTATACTCATGGCATTGACACCTCAAACAACAATGGGTTAGTCTTGGATACTATAATACCATACAAGTACGCATAAAAATCTCATCTAGGTAGGACTTCTATCACCGAAGCATTGCTTTGAGAAACAGACACACGAACAATCACAAACCGTGCAAAAATATATTATTATTTTTCTTAATGCGCAACACAAGCTAATTGACATCAAGTTTCCTTTTTTTTCAATTACCTCTACAATACAATGCTGCAACAAATAGCATGCCTTGCTTTGTCTCTTTTGCTCTTCTAGCAAGGATACTTCATTCTCATTCGGTCCCCACACGTATTTGAATCGCATTAAATTCATCATGCATCTTCGACTCATGTAAGGTTAGAGTAGATTAGGTAAACTACAAAAATAAAAATTCAATGAGTACGATATGTAACAAACGAGGTCGTCTACTAGGGCTAGTCCCTGTAAGATGATGTGAGCCAGCAGGAAAAAAAAAGGTAGTCTGTAGAGGGAGGATATAGTGCTAGTTTTGTGTTCAAAAGCTTAGTAAAAATATGTTAGATTGTTGGGTTATAGTGGTAATAAAATGGTACAGGTTGGGAGGAAGAAAAAGAGTCTGGGCTGTTTCAGGGACTGGTTCCCCCCCTCCTCACGTCTGTCCCCCCTGTACCCCCCCCACCCACCCACCCCCCGGGGCAGAAATGCACATAAATAGCCTATCATTAAAAAAAAAGTTTGCAAAAGGGCTCCTAAACGGTCAGCACTTAAATATAGGGTAAAGAACCATTAGTTTAAATTTAATTAGATGATCTATCTTTTCTAATTATGTAATCAAAGTTTTGACTTCTCTAATATTGATACAACAGTTTGAGTAGGAAAAAAGGACAACAACCAGCTTACAAACAATACTTTACTCTTCTACTTCAATAAAAACAAACTTAGGATTCATAAAATCATCCTTGGAAATAACCAACTTTCAAGAGCTTCCTAAATAAGTTTGGGCCAGCCAAAATGATATTTTTTGCTCTTCTTTATTGTGACAGTTTGGAGACTAACTTTAGTGTGGCAGTTTGAAACAAAGCAGTGGTTGCGAAGTCCCATTGTGGTTGTGTTTTGAGCTTATCTTAGCACAGGAAAAAAAGATGTTGCATTAGTTTTGGGACACTGGTTTTAGTTACCTAAAATTGGCCCATTTGACTTAACATTAACCTTGATATTTTGGAACTAAAAATTGTGAAAACAAGATTAAGGGGCAGAAACTAGATCCTCACTCAGCCTGCTTGAAAAGAGCTTGAGCGGAGCACTCAGTGGTTTCTAAAAAAATGTAAAAATCCCAAGAGGCTCCTTTTCGTAGCCTGCTCAAAGAGCGGTCACATGGGTGACAACATTACATGAAAGAGAACAAGGATAGTAGTGTGCTTGAGCTGGGTAACATGCACAAGTTTTTGTAATTCATGCAATGTCTTTTCTAAACAAACTATAAATAGACATTAGGCTAAGGGCTCTCAAAAAACTCTGATACATTAATTAGTGAAGAGACCTGAATGTTCTAATGATTCAATAGCTTTAACTGATTGTTTTCTTTTGACAAAAGTCCATGGACTAGAAAACATGGTTGAGACCACCGCAAAATCATCAGATCATCAGATCGACAACACAAGCGTAATCATAATGTCAATCTTCGGCAAGGAATATCAAATTCAACATCAATTCATTCCACTAAGCCACCACAAAATCATAGGAATCTCGAAATGCAAGCGAAAATTAGCATGAAAGAATCAGAAAACAGGAGCTAAAGAGAGAGAGAAGGTACCGTGAAAACGTTCTTCGAAGTAGACTTCAACTGAAGCGATCGCGAAGAGGACCTTTTTGTTCAATCCCAAAACGAGCAATCACAGAAGTGAAACACATTCAATAAGGGCATGAAAACCCTAGAAATCAAAATCAAAGAGAGATGAGAGAGGAGAATTGGAACACAAATTCAAGGCTTAGAATCGAATTAATCGAATAGATATGCAAACACCGAATTTATCGAATCTGTGGAAGGGGCTTAGAATCAGAATTGAACCCCAAGGTCGGAATCGAACTCCAAGTTTAGAGTGACAGAAGCTTGTGGTGGTCGGTGGTGGTGCTCGTGCGTTTGTGTGAGACGCCGATGAAGAGAGAGAGAGAGAGAGAGAGAGAGAGAGAGAGAGAGACGTATGAATACAAGATCTGTGTGATTTTAATCTCAAATGCAAAGAATGTATGAAGATCTATGAGGGTATTTGAAGGTCTGGTTCGTTTTCTAGGGTTTTGAAGGAGGAGGAGGAGGAGGAGGAGTGAAGAAGAGAGAGGGTTTGGGTTTTATTGGCGAGTCCTTAATCCGATTTGAATACACTAACGGAAAATACTTCGTTGCTCGAAAATCTTGGCCCGAAATTGGCTCGAATATATAAAACGACGCCGTTTTGTAATTTTTGTTTTTTTCAATTAGATCTGGGAAAATGTTTGAAGGCCCTAATTTCGGTGACTCAAATGGCTCAAATTTGTCAAAACGACGTCGTTTTGGCAATTTTGATGTTGTTTTGTACTCAAAACGACGTCGTTTTGGCAAATTCGAGCCATTTGAGCCACAGAAATTAGGGCCCTCTATCATTGTTGTTATATCTGAAGCAGACAGAGGGAGAGGGACGAAGGAAGAGAGAGAGAGAGAAGGAAAAAGAGAAGAGAGAAGGAAGGGGGAAGAGGGTCGCAGGCGACCACCAGATTTTGTTGATGAAGATGATGTTGAAGATGATGATGATGTTCAAAATCTGAAGCTTTTCAAAAAAAAATTTGATCTGGATGATGGCGGTGATGGCATTCGGTGAGGATGAAAGGGATTTTTTTTTTTTTTTTTTGTTGATGAAGATGATGATGATGTTGAAGATGATGATGATGTTTAAAATCTGAAGCTGTTGAAAAAAAAAATTGATCTAGATCTGGATCAAAAAAAAAAATTTGTACAACAGTTTCAGATTTTGATAAAAAAAAAATCTGATAAAAAAAAATCTGATAGGTCTGCAGATTTTGAACAAAAAAAAATTGATGTTGATGAAAATGGATCTGTACAAAAAAAAAAATTGATGTTGATGAAAATGGATCTGGATCTGCATCAGATTTTGAACAAAAAAAATTTGTACAACAGCTTCAGATTTTGATCAAAAAACACCAAAACGATGATCAAAAAAATTTATACAGCAGCTTCAGATTTGTACAACAGCTTCAGCTTCAGGTTTTTTTTTCTCTCTTTCTTTTTGAACATGAAGATGAAGGCTGATCTGGATTGTTGAGTAGAATGTTACTTTGAAGATGAAGGCTGATCTGGATTGAAGATGAAAGCTGATCTGGATTACTTTGAACATTTATTTTTATATGTTACTTCTCCAGTCCTCAATATTCTACTCAATTAACATATTTTTTTTTTTGTTATTACTTTGAACATCAACATCAACAATCCAGATTTTTTTATTTCGATTTTTTCCGTGTTGATCTGGATTGAAGATGAATCCAAGTCATTGATCTGGATTGTTGATCTGGATCTCAGCCAATTTTTTTATTTTTTTTCTTCTTCTTCGTCTTCATGAAAAAACACGGAATTTGTTCTCGAGGGTTTTAGGGGAGGAGTGAAGAAGAGAAAAGGTTGGGTTTTATTGGCGAGTCCGTAATCCGCTTTGAATACAGTGACGAAAACATAACACTGAACCCACCCAAGGGTTGGAAATTGTTAGTTTTTTTTTTTTTATTTAAATTTTAAAAAAATATCAGATTGAAATTTTTTTTAAGTTGAAGTTTTCTCGGCATGCTAATATATGTTGTGTAAGGATATAAATTATTTTTTACGTTGTTCACAATTAGGAAAATATAAGGTGAGAACCTTGGTTGGAAATTATTAGCTTTTTTAAATTAAAAAAAAAAATTTGAATCGAAATTTTTTTAATAAAAGTTTTCACGACATGAAATGTATGTCGTCTTAAGTATAAATATTTTATGCCATATTTTTGTATGTCGTGAAGGTATACATTTTTTACGGCATGCTTTTGCATGCTATAAAAAAATTCTGGATTGAATTTTTTTTTTGCAAAAGTTTTCACGACATGTTAATGCATGCCGTATAAAGTTATAATATTTTATAACATAAAATATATGTCGTCTTAAGTGCAAATATTTTACGAAAATTTTTTGTAAGTCGTAAAAACATATATTTTTTAAGGCATACTTTTGCATACTATAATATATGAATCAACGACTTACATGGTATGTATGCTGTTATTAACAAAACATTAACGGCTTGCAAAAAAAAAAATGCCATAGAATGTACTAATTACGACATGCATTTAATGCATATCGTAAACATGATGTCGTGAATAGTTAATTTTGTTGTAGTGATGTCTACTAATTCATTTGATGTAAAATTATTGATGGGTAGAGTTAAAAGGCTTGGTTTGTGTTTGTGAAATAATTTTTCTAAAAGAGTTTATAAAATTTAAAATTTTATTCGATTGTCATTTTTTATTTTTTATAAAAAGGATCTAACCACAGAGGGATAATCTCTAGAGTTAAACCTTATAAGGAACCAAGGCCCCATAAGTCATTCTCAGGTAGTTGTTACATAACAGAGCCACTTAACCATGTAGTGGTAAGTCATGGACTCGCACACAGGTGGTGATTAGAAACCACATTTCTGACATTGGGTACGGTTCATCTAGGTCTAGAAGGTTCATTCTACCAATCATATGTGATGTCATCTGGGTGGCTAGCCCTGAGGAGAGTGGAACTCGGGACCTTAAGACTTCTGCCCCAATGTCTTACCAAAGTGCCACGCCCCTTGGGTTGTTTGGTTGTATGTTTTGAAAATAATTTTGGAGTTTTGACTTTTTTTTTTGGTAGTTGAATAAATGGGTGTGAGAGAAAAAATGATTGATTAATATGTAGGACGTGAGAAAATGTGAGAGAAGAGAGAAAAAGTGATTGATTGATTTATATGTATTAGAGAAAAAAGTAATTTTGATTTTTTTTTTCAAAATTTTTCACCTAAATAATTTTTAAAATTTTTCTCTAAAATTATCTTTTAATAGACAAACCAAACAAAGCCAAAGTCTTTTTGGCTTTGGATTCCAGTTGGGCTTGGATATGTTTGTCCTGTGTAATTTCTTATAGAGTTTCAAGTCTTATTTAGATAGGAATGTGTTCCAAAAGGTCCAATGAGTTGTGAACAAATGGTATTAATATACTATTATACCCTTTATATGTTTCTATAATATGTATCATCCAGCAAATTATGTATTTGGAGACTTTTAGGAAAGTGGATTGTACAGGCTGCTTCCGTGGGCGTTAACTTCGCATTGATTACGGATTCCAGTGGATTGGATTTTACCAAAAAAACTGAAAATTACTTCATAAAAGAACCTTTTTGTCATTGCATAATGTGACCATATAAACGAGAATGTGCTACGTGAAGGTTGACATATAACACATTATGAACACGAATGTGACAACATGAAATGGGGATAATACACAAATTGACAAATATGAACAATGTCAAACATGACATAACACAACGTGTAGGATAACGGGACGCATGCCGCTTTTTCGAACAACGTGACTACATAAATAAGAATGTGAATTGAAAAGATTGATGTGCGGCACACCCCTACCCGAATGTGGCAACACATATAATGGGATATGTGACACTTTGAAAATGTAACAAACTGAAATACAATGTGACATATGCTATTTGAAACGTGAACCGAATCTACCCAACACAGAAACACAATCTGGAGTCGTGTTAGTTGTATTTTTTGCCTCCCTATGACAAATAACAAACACTCCCACAAATTCACATTCACATTCTGGATAGTACACCTGGGAATTCAAATTTGGTAAGGATGTGGCAACATCGACACGTAACGTGAATGTCATAGCTAACAATTTAGACAACCTGAACAATAGATTAATGACTACCATGTGCATTACAAAAAAGAAACCCACATCTTGTACAATACTATGCAAATGTTAGCTCATCATTCGTCAATCATATTAACATTCCTACTGACATTACTGACTTATAAATACTGCCATGTTATACAAAAAAGTGCGAACAAATATTTATGACTGAACCATTCTAGCATATTCCCACAAAAATTGTAGGAATCAGAAACCGTATTGACAATGCTACCCAAAATAGTCAAAATCATGATAACAACAAAAAAATGTTTAACATCAAACGTAATGTGCCATTCAAATACTAACTACTCGTGAACTTAAAAAATAAATAAATAAATAAAAAAACATGATGTGTCCTGTCACCATTGGAAGATTGTTCAGTATGTCAATATTTGTCAACAAATGACCTTCTTGCGTCGTTCACAAATGACTTCACCATCCCAGTTCGCATCATCTTGCATCTCTGCCCTCCCATTGACTTCTCCACGCCAAGGTGACAAACGAGTTACTTCATAATCAAATATACTATAATTCCACAATCAGCCGTATCAAGAAAATTTGAGACATTAGTAAAACCGTTAAAACACACCACATGCAATGTTTGGAAACATCAAGGAAATTCATTGCAAACAAAGATAATTCACACTTACGAGTCTACTTTTTGTTGTGGACAATCATCGATCACTAAACGTTCTTTCACCACATCCTGCGTTTCAACTGCACCAACCTTAAGTGTACGCCTTATGTAATCCTCAAAGTATCCTTTCTACGTTATTGTCAAATTTATATTACCAAGTAATTAGTACTAGTGTAAAAAATAAATTACAATGACTAGTGAAATAAACTAGTTCATGTTTACTAACTGAAAAATCTAGAAATCACCTAGATATTGATTTGTGATTATGTATTAATTTAACGAGTAAATAGCAATCCCAATCAAACAATCAAAGACAAATCAACACAACGATTTTACGTAGAAAAATCACAATTGGAGCTCCTCCAATTGTGATAAAAACAAAAAAATCACTAGCAAAAGCCACAAAACAATTCACTAAAAAAACATAAAGGAATTACACAAGTGTACTCTCAATTACTTAGCGAATCCATGCCCGAATTGAACCGACGCCAATGTGCCTCTTCCACCACCGTTTTCACCTCGGAATTATCTTGCCCAATGTTGAATCCACAACACCGATGTCAAATCACGACGATGAGCCACTCCAGAATCCACTAAAGCTTCAGGCTCGAATTCCCCAGAATCCACCGAAGAATGTGTTTTTGTATTAAATAAACAAATAATCCTTTGATGTATACTTCTTAAACCATAAGTTGAATATTCAATTAAACATCAAAGAAACCAAGCAAAATAGCCCCAGATATAAACCTTAATATCCAAGAACAAGATCTGGAAGCCGTAACCCTAAAATCTGACAGAAACACATATTTATAGTAATCTGTTCTGCGATCTCCGCTCAAGCGCAGGAATGGCCGCTCGAGCAGACTGACGCTCGAGCGCATGAAATTCTGCTCAAGCGAAAAAATGCAAGTCCCAGTACTTTTGCAGATAGTTCAAACTTCTGGAACCAAACGTTCTCTGCTCGAGCGCATAAATGTCCACTTGAGCGGACAAGCAACTTCAAATGCATTTTTGCATTTTGCTTCGGGGACACTGCCCCTTGACCCCGTCTGGGCATTGCCCCCTGGACCCCTGTGAGCTAACCGGGCAGCTTGATTCCCGACATAGTCAACGACGTGGCAACATGATAGGATTAGGATCACAAACTCTGCATAGGCATAATTCGGGTTGGATTCGCATCTAAAACACATAGTCTCACTACAATAAAAGATTGAATATAATTATAACTAAAAGAAGTTTTGTCAAACAGGATTGCTAAGAATAAAAACCTAACAACCTCCCCCTTTGG